CCCCAGCTTCCCCTTGCTCTTTTTCAACCATTCGACTTTCAGTCTTTTACTGTCCTCTTTAAATTTCCAAGCCCGTCTTTTCCACCTTTTAATCCTTCCAACTCTTTCTCTTTCATACTTCATCCATCACTTGTTATGTTTAAGTAGTCCTGTTTTAACACTTCTTGGGGGTTTTTTTAGTCCCTTCCCAACTTTTTCACTTGGCTGATATTCCTTCTCTTGTAGAGACCCCGGTTTTCCTTCCTTAAGGTCAGCGCAGCTCTCCCTTTGGAGCTCATCTAGTTCCTTCACAATGGGTTGTTCCCCTTCCACTGTCTTTTCAGCTCCTCTCTGGATATTGTCCAATTTTACTGCTAATTTCAAACATGCCTCCTTGCATTCTTTCTGTACCACGTCTCTCAAAATTCTTAGGAACTGCCCCACAGTTAGTTCACCCACCTCAGCGTTTTCATCGTAGTCCTGGTCAGTTTCGGACTCCTCCGCCATTTTCTCCAACGCTCTCCTGATCCTTTTTCTCACAAACAGACCTTTCTCTCTGTAACCCTTTCCTTCAGTCACTTTTCCTCTTTTTTATCTCTTTGCCAACTGCACCAGTTCAGTAAATACGAAAACGCCAGCAGTTATATCTTTTCTTCCCCGCCTCGGATAGTAACCCAGCCTTCCGTCTCCTATTTCTCCCAGCCGCTTCACTCCTTCACTTAGACATTTTGTTTTGGGGATTTTCCGTAAGACTTCAAAAATAGTTACTCACACTGTCTCTCCCGTGTTGCCGTGTTGGTAGCCTGTTGCCTCTTGTTTTAATTAGAAGGTCTGGATGGCAGCGGCTAGTCCAAACATGGCGGCAGCCATGTTCTTCCCCTTCAAAATGGTCCCGTATCAGGGCTGTTTCTGGAACCCCCCCACTTTGCCAAGTGCGGGAGGGGCCAAAAAAAGTGCCCCCTACTCCAGCCCTCACTCCGAGAGGGCTGGCCAAGTTCTCCCGATGGTCGGGAGACTTGGTAAAGTCCGTAGAAGGTTCAGGCAGGACGGAGCGAGCCGCACCCTGCCCGTCGCCGCGCCGGGCACCGCTCTCCAAGCTTGGTTTTTCCAATGTATTTGAAGACGTCTGCATGTACACGAAAACTTATAGCCAGAATAACACTTTGTTGGTTTTAAAGGTACCACTGGACTCAACCTTTGTTCTGCTGCTTCATGGCTACCTACCTGAACATATGAGATAGGTTAGGCTGAGAGAGTATGACTGGTCCATGGTAACTCTGAAAACTTCCATGGCATTAGTAGGGTTTCAAACCCAGGTTGCCCAGATCCTAGTCTGACACTCTGAACCATTACACACCACTGGCTCTCTGTATGCAGCAGTGACAGCATCATAGAAAGTAAATTGAAATAAATGCCTGTTTATTATCTGAACTCTTGGGGTTGGGTTTATCATTTCCATTCTGTAAACAGCGGAGCCTTTCTCTTAAACGAGAGTTGCATGGGCAGGAGCCTCTCTTGGTTGGAGGACGGCTCCAGTTAGCAGAGCAGAAAATCTAGCCCCTAGGCTTTATGGTAAAAGAAACTAATGGCCCTAAATTCTGTTCTTGCTTTTATTGTGAGGAAAGAAAAACAAGGTGCAGTTTAAAAAGACAAACTTTGAACCAGAACTTTGCATACAGTTTGCCCACGTATATATGTACGAAGTATAGATGTGCAGAATCAATACCTAAGAGTGAAGTCTTAATAAGTTGCAGTTTGTCCTCTCAAGCGCCTAAAAATGGTATTTTATGACAATTGAAAAAGATTTCTGGATTCTTTAACCCATTTGGTTCATCGTCTGTTTCTGTTCCTAGAATTCAGCTTCTGATTCCTGTTCAAGCTATATTCCTTGTTTTTAACATGAGGATTCTTTTAATTCCCCTGCTCCCATTGGATTATCGTATAGGAAACTCTGTTCTCCTGAGCCACTGAAAGCCAGAATCCTGTAGTGATTCCCCTTATAAGGCTTATGAATTGTCCAACTTTGACCGCTATTCGTTGGACAGGGTATTCCACTAGCTTGCCTCCGGATTTGAGTCTCCATTATATGGACTGGTGGTCTAGTGCCCTCTGTTTGTAGCCTTGGTTTTCTGGCTTAACTATCTTGAGTCCTCTTGCTTTGCTTCCAGAAGTTGAAGAGAGCCTCTGCTTGTATTTGGGACGCCATACACAATCCAGAGCTCTCCCTGTTTCTGTTTGCTATCTTTGGCTGGCCCGTTTTCCATGGAACTAAACAGAGAGAACTCTTTAGGTACAGCTGTCCCTGAATAGCAGGGTTACATTGCTGTGCATGCTGAAGAAGTGCAAGGACATACTTTCTTTGCTCTTGGACACAGTTGTTTCTCCAAAATAAGACCCTTGGCAGTCTCTCCCTCACAGTGTGAATCTTTCAGCCTTCAGACTACTCTTTTCTGGCTGCCAGTTCTATTTTAGTTTGGTGGTTCATTGAGTGTAGAGTTGTGAAATGTTGTTACTTTTATGTTGTATGACTTCAAGGCAGGGATCTTATTGTTTGTTTCAGGACTGAAAATAGCCCCATCCCAGTATTGCTGTGTCAGCGCAATGCATAGAATGGGTCACATCAGCCACAGTTACCAGCACATCATTTAAAAAGCATGATGTTATAGGAATATCATGGTAACATTCCAAGCAAAAATTCTGACAAAAGTAAGATCAGACTGTAAGTCTGTTAGTGTGGCATCTTCCTGGAAGATTCACCACTTACCACTGGAGTGAAGTTACACTTCTATTTTTTAGTGGGAACCTTTGATGCTAAGGGAGACCATGAGTGGCCAGTTGTCTGTCCAGTCAACATTGCTGCTCTCCCTCCTTCTTTGTAATTGGAGGTGGGGATTTACAAAGTACCATCCTAAGCAGTTACATACATTGACTTCAGTTGACATAGAAAGGTGTAAATCTGTTCAGTGGCATGGTATGCTGGCTAATCTTGTATTAAAAGACTAATTCTTCCCTGAGAGACAGCATTAGAAAAAGGAGACTATTCTGTGTGAGAAACTTCTGTCCTTTCTATGTGACGTTTACCCTCTTTACTTTTTTAATTTAAGCATAGAGTTGGACTTGACTGGCTTTCGAGCAAGGGAACCTTTACCTTTATCACATGTTGGCTGGCAGGAGCATTCTTCCCAAAGCTCTCTGGTCTAATTATTTTATTGATTTCATTTACACCCCACCTTTCTCCCAAAGGGGGACCCAACATGGCTTACATTTTTCTCCTCTCTATTTTATCCTCACAACAACCTTGTGGAGTAGGTTAGGCTGAGCATGGCTGGCCCAGGGTCACCCAGGAAGATTCTGTAGTGGAGTAGGGATTCAAACCTGAGTCTCCCAGATCCTTGTCTAACCACTATGCCTTGCTGGTTCTACTTGCACTTTTTCCTTTTGGGTCTTTTGCTCAAGTCACCTGGAGCTGTTTGCTGTACTCCCCGCTGGTTACACGTTTTGTTGTTGTTGTTCAGTCGCAGAGTCGAGTCCGACTCTTCGCGACCCCATGGACCACATCACGCCAGGCTCGCCTGTCTTCCGTTGTTCTTCGGAGTTTGCTTAATTTCATGATCGTTGCCTCGATAACACTGTCTAACCATCTCATCCTTTGCCGTCCCTTTCTTCTTTGACCCTCAATCTTTCCCAGTATCAGGGTCTTCTCCAGTGAATGCTGCCTTCTCATTTGGTGGCCAAAGTATTTGAGCTTCAGCTTCAGTGTCTGGCCTTCCAGGGAACAGTCAGGACTGATTTGATCTTGCAGTCCAAGGGACTGGTTACACACTGCAGTCTAAATTGCAAAAGATTAAGCTGTAGGCTCTGGCCTACAGCTAAATGGCATTTGTGTCTTTCTAGTTCTGTGACTTCAGGCCAGTGAACTGACCTATGGAATACCCTATCTTCTTTTAGGCAACAACCCCAAACATTACTTTTTACTCAGCCTTTTTAAGGAAGGAGTTTTATCTTTTAAAAATTATTTTTATAGTCTGCTCTGCTTCCAACCTAAGGCCTGTTTTATGAGGATCATTGTAGGTTGCTAAATGTTTTATGCTATTATGCTCTGGTTACATTTCTAATAGATAATTTCAATAATATCATGTTGCAGGGCTGGTTTCCGCATACCCTGAGGTGGGGCAGCTGCCAGGGCCCAGGACGTTCAGCCTGGCCCTCACCAGAGCTTCCCTGCCACCCAGCACCACCAGGAAAAGTGCATGTGTGTGGTGCATGCAGCTGGAAGAGTGGGTGGTAGAAGAGCTTACAAGTGACTGAGCAGGCAGGGAAGGACATGTGGACAGGCAGTTGGGGAAGGGCACAGAGGAAAGGAAGTGAGACGAGGGGTGGATGAGCAGGGAGCGTGGCGGTGGGCAGGGGAAGAGGGCCCAAGCACTCTCTCTGCCCAGGGCCCCACAAAACCTGGCTCTGTTATGCCATATTACTTTGTGAGCCACCTTGAGCTGGTTTGCTGGAGAAGGACTGTATACATTTTCCAAATAACTCTTTTAATATGTGTTTAACAGTGGCCTATACAGAAACATGAGCTGTTATGATGTAGTGGCTGAGAAGGCCCAGTCCCTTTCAAAACCTATTTCTTCCATGAACCCAGAGGGGCTGGGGGGGGGGGTCTGAGAAAAGCCACTCAGCCCTTCTTCATCACACTGATCATTCTAACCTACCATGGAGTTGCACGGATTACAAGACAAATATACTTTAAGAGATATGAGCACTCTAAACTGATATGTTAATACTAAGTACTATAATTGATTAAAGTTATGATGTGTTGAGTGTCAGGGGGGTTAGCTGTCAGTGGAATTCATTTGTATGAGCTTAATAGTACTTTCTCCCTCAATTACTCATGGCCAGTAAGCTTGTGCCTGCTGGAACTACAAAATGCTCTGAAGACTTCCAAGGTGGTATAAAAATGAGAAAGCAGAAATGAAAATCTTACTCTTATCCTTTCTCCCTCCCTCTCCTTTTCTCTCCAGCTCAGAGACATTAGTCATCTGTTTGTGTGGATGCTGGCATGAAGAGGGTCACCTAACAAGAAATGACATATGTCTGATATGTCATTTTCTTCTGCAACCTACGTTTGAGTATCATACACTGGGAGAGAACTTCGTTTCTAAAAAGAAAAGACACCACCACCCCTTTCCAGGATACCTGTACTTATTGTAAATTTACTTTGTAATTTTCAGGTGTTAGAAAATATTTTATAAACTGTTTTGCAATAAATAAGGCATGAGCCAAGGAGCCTGTTCCAAATGAACATGGAAGGAACCACTTGAAATACTTGTACGAACCATCACTAAGTGTACTCTTACTCTTCAAATGTGGTAAGTCTGAATAGGCCCCAGCAATGGAGTCAAGATACCTGGAAATTTGGCTGTAAACTTCTGGATATTTACTTTTCTTCTTAACTTGTGTTTATATTCTACATCTTAACAAACTGTAGTCTTTAGTGCAGGTGTTAGCAGAGCTGTATCCTATTACTGGAAGCATGTCCTAATTCAGCTGTGATGTCAAGGTCTGACAAGTCCTGTTTTGAGACCAAGGTTTCCCATTGAGATGCTAGTGACAGTGGTAATATTAAACTCCCATGTAGTTCTTGAGTAGGTATGGCAAAGATCTTCCCTTGTGAAACTTTTTTTTAAAAAAAAAACGGCTTTGGCCAACACTGGGGATCACTTTACAAAAATATTGGAAGACGGTGTCTGCTTATGATTCTCTAGTAGTATGTTCTTTAACAAGAAGAAACTGCTGACAAGGGGGTGGTAATTGATGTGCAAAGTCATTAAGTTCTTTTCTCTTTCTAGTATAGGGACATATTGCACACAGACACTACACAACCCTTAGGGCTCCAATCCAGTTAGTCAATTTTGTTAGTAATGCCCATTGAAAACAATGGGATATGAAGCTCAATCACAACAAATTTGTTCTATCATTTCAATGGCATTTGCTCATTACTGATTTCAACCAGATTAGGTCTTAAGCATTTCTAAGGATACTTGGTTTACATTAACACATAACACACACACACTCCCGATAAAGATGTGTTAAATCTTATTAATGAGCCTTGAGTATATAACCGTGCAATTTAGTTCCATTTATTTAAATGGGAGTAAGGTATAGTTAATTTTCACTGGATTATGCCCACTGTCAAAATAGCTTTTTTTTAAAAAAAAATATCTACTGCTCATTTTTATTACTATTTAATTTTCTTAAAGGCATACCAAGATTCAGCAGGTAGCCTGACAGAGTAACAAGCTCTGAAATAAAATATATGCACAATTGAAAGACTGCTAATATCTGATAACGTCAAGTACTTTTACATAGCAAAATTGTTATTGGTTTTTTATGGCATTAACTATTGCAGACTAAACAGAAAAGATCACTTTTCCAAAGTTACCCATACCAGCAAATACAAACTGAAGTTTACTGCTTCATAATTCCCATGCATGTTGAATTAATTATACTAATTCTCCCCTTGGTAACAGATTTATATTTTTAAAAAGCATTCTAAGCACAGGAAAGATTATTAATTATATATTACAATGCAATTCTATATTAAAATTTAGTATTTAAAAGAAAACCTTTAAAATTATTTATAAAATGGAGAGTCCATAGCAGCTACTTTAAAAATTACCTACATGGTCATATTTAATAGACACTTCAACTGTGCCACTTTTCATAAGACATTGCAGGTGATTTAAAAACACACACATAAATACTGTGTAGTGCTCCCATGTAGATAAAGCAAAGTAAATGCTGTGGTTTTTCGATACAATGATTAGAAATAAATTGGGGGTGAAGGTAGAAAAGATGCTGCAGTGAGTCTATCAGTGCAGAATATTTTGCCTGTAGAAGCAACATGCTGGTTTTAGAGCATTCTCTATATTTGGGGGGGAGGGATTCCTTCTGTAGAGAAGGAACTTACAACTTGGGTGGTAACAATGGCACAAAGTGATAGTTTCTACTCAGGAAAATTGTGTTGGTCTGTACTAACAAGGGTACATGTCTGAACTGGGAGTGGGTGGAGCCAGTAGTGCCTGCATAGACAACATTCTTAAAGCCAGTGCTCTTAGTCTCCTTTGAGAGTACCGACATTGCCCATTTTTCACTTAACACCATTGTGTCATATGGGAGAGATGCAGGTTTCTACTGAAAGATGAAGTAAAGGGAGGGGAGATTTGAAAAACAGACAGGATGGCTAGTTTCTACTTGCTATGAAGGATCAAGTTAAACTGCAGCCATCTTATTTTTCACTTTGAAATAATATTGTCAGGGAAATGTTAGTGGTAGAAGTAATGTACTGCTTTTTACCTTTTTGCTTTAGTTGCTTAATATTTAAGCTTTGCTCCATGCTACCTTTTGTCTGTATACTATATTTCACTATGCCTCCTTCAGTTGGTAGACTTGAAAGAGGAAAACTGATTCACCTTTTAAGGTTTGCTTGAAATTAAATGTTTAAGAATGTTGTGTACCATCTATTTCAAATAAAGCTTTGTTTTTTTCCTCTGCACTTTTAAAAAAAGTTTCACAGCGCAGTCATTCTGTATAGACTTACAATGCAATCCTATGCAGAGTTAGTCCAGTCTAAACGGAATGAAATTACGTGAAGACTGGAGTAATTCTCTTTTTTTTTAAGTACCCGAGGGTACACTTTTATTATTTTTTCCATTATATACTACAGACATACAAACAACCCCCATCTCCCCCCCACAACATATAACACATAACAAGAGACTTTTTCATTTCTTCTGCTTGTTAGATTTCTAAATTCATTATCTATTTTACTCCGCTAAGCTTATCTTTTCTGCGTTCTCAAATTACGTTTATTTATCAGTTGCAGTTACATTATACCAATCGTAGAATCTCTTCCAAGTTTTTTGAAAAGTCCATTCTGTACCGGCTCTCCTGTCAAGTGTTTGTCATTTTCCGCCGTTTCAAATATTTTATTCACGTACTCTTGTTTCGTTGGTATTTCCATTGTTTTCCAATATTTGGCATATACTATTCTTGCAGCTGTCAAAACTGGAGTAATTCTCAACAGCATTGCAATGTCAATTACCAATAGGCCTTTTCTAGCCTGTAACTATGATGTACAGCAAGCCACCCCTCCGTCTCTACAGTCACATGGCAGGGTCATTCCTTTGACATTTATTGATCAGCAATAACAGAGAATCAAAAACTGAGTAGCTATTCAACCTATGTATGTGAAGGAAGCTTAAGAAGAAACTCTACTGAAATTAAGGACATTTTCCTCCCTCCCTTGTTCCAAGGAGCTAAAGGCAGCATATGTGCTTTTACCCATCTCTTATAACACTGCAAGGTAGATTACATTGAAAGACAGTGTTGCAGGCACAAGGGTTTCTACCACTGGATCACAAGTTCTATGGCTTTCTTCCTGCTACAGCAGCCTAAAATGCCACCCCCCCCCCCATCCTGTTCATGCTACTCCCCTCTCTGTGGCCAGCAGTTCTTGCTAGGGATTGGGTGCACACTGGAAAAATATGGTTCACGAACCACAAACCAAACTGGGAGGTCCATTCATGAACCAGACCAATTCGTGGCCCTGCAGTCCTTTAAACAGGGTTTAGAGAAAGCCTGAAAAACAGCTGAGTGACAGGGAGCAGGCTGCCTTATGCAGTCCCTTTAAAATAGAGGTGTCAAACTCATTTGTTATGAGGGCCGGATCTGACATAAACGTCACTTTGTTTGGCCGGGCCATGTGTTCCATAAAATGTAATGCCAGGTACCAGCAATATAAACTATAAAGGACAGCAGCTGGTAAGCTCCAAGTTGGTGTATCCGCACTGCAAGGCCTCGTGGGCTAGGAGGGGGTGCAAAGGAAAATCCATATGGGCAGGCTGGAGACCCAGCAGTGCAGCACTGGGCAGATGCTCCACTCTGCTTGACTGCTGCAGATGACGTTGGTCTGCCATGCTGAAGCCACAATTGGAGTGGCTGTGCCCACTCCCCACCCCAGCAGACTCCTGTTCCCTCCCTTCCACCACTAGTTGTTTGCAGGCTGCATAACAGCCTTGGATGGGCACTTCCGGCCCCAGGGCCTTGTGTTTGACACCCCTGGTTTAAAGGGACTGCACAAGACAGCCCGAAACAGCTAAACATCGAGAAGCGGGCTACTCCCTGCTTTCAGGAGGAACAGAAAGTTCCTTTAAACCCCTACTTTCTGCTCCATCCACGAACCACCACAAACAGCTTTAAAAGTTCATGACAGCGGACCCATCACAAACTTCTTGACTAATTTTGCTGTTTGGTTTGTGCCCATCCCTAGTTCTTGCACCTGCAGAAATGTTCCAGTGGAGTCTAACTGATCATCTGGGCAAAGTCCCTCACTGAGCTTGATGACTGAGTGGGGTTTTGAACTCTCACCTCTTCCATCATAACATCACCTATACTACACTGAACATGATGTAGTATGGCTTTGTCTTCATTATATAAGAACACTGCAACATTTGAAGACATGTGGTACTTTGGTACAGGTCTAAACAGTATGATTTAAAATTTCAGCCATTTTCAACCCTATTCTGTAACCCAGTAAGAGTCATGTTAGACAGCAGGGTCGCTGCATCAGAAGCACATTCAAAATGCTTTGACTAGTTTTTCCCAATGTTAGTCAGTTTGGTATCAAACGATACTAAAGCAAATTGCTTAAATCAGTCTTATTTAGCTTGCCACCCTCAGCTAGGTAATTCCACAGACTGAGACAGAGTGATTTGCTGCAGCTAAGCAACAAAAGTCATTTTATGCTATTTTATGCAATATTTATAGAAACGGGGGGAAAGAACTGAATAAGGTTGTTTTGCATTTGAAAAAATGGCAACAGTGGAGCCTGGAGGACCATCATTTTTTTATTCCACGAAGGTAAAAACACCAACTCTCTCACACCACACCAATTGCAACTAAGGTTTGCAAACTTCACAAAACATGAAATGGTTGCACTTTGTTAACGGAGATAGGCCCAGTGGGATTCTTCCATTTAGCAAAGCCAAGTTTTCCTTATTTCCTCATTGGGAAGAATGGAGAGTACCCGAATAAAGTGCATATGGTCAGATCCCTTTGGATCAGACTACTTCTCATAGTTGCTCATGCCTGCTAATTACTCCACAGAAGAAAAAAATGCATAGCAATATGCTCAGATCTTTTTATCTGGATAAAGATGTCGTGAACTCAATCCATTTTTCATTCACTTGGAAACATGCCTTCCATCATCAGACTTCAAGGTTGGGCTTACGTTATCGGTTGTTGTTTTGAACAAAGTTGATGGAGTACGAGCCAGTGGCCGAATCCTGCTTCATCTGGAAGTTATCTGTTGACAAGCCAAATGGGCGGAGAACAAAGTTCCCAAGGTCTTTCAGTTTTCCTGCAAATAAACAAGACAAGTGTGCTTCTTGATCTGTTCAACATTACAGAGATCGGAAGAATTTGTTCCTTGCTGTCCGAATGCGGCATAGAATGAGTTCTGCTAAAAGCAGTCCTAAACTCTTTTTGTCATTCAAGAGGGTGCTAAGACAGGGGGACTTATTTTTTCTACAGTCTTCACCTGTCTCAGTTAGCACTGAACAGCAATAAATGTCTAGAAATAGGTTCCTAAGGAAAAGGTGCCACATGCTTAAAATCCTGTTTGCTGCCATATCAAACTCAACACCAGTGTTGTATGTTCTGAGCAGCTTACCATTCGGTGTCCAATAAACACACAGAGAAAAAAGGCATTTCACAGAGAGAACACAGCTGCATTTTGCTTCCAACAGGTGAGTCATCTTTCAGAACTGATTTGTAACTGATTTAGTAACCTTAACATCTACCCGCCCCTAAAATGCTGAAAACAATTGGCAATGCCCTCTAAAATATTTTTAGCCAAAAACTATGAAATGGGCAATGTTGCAGACCAAAGGAACAGGAAGAAAACCTAATCTACCCTGCCCAGTCTGGATATGAGATAAGACAACAAGTGTACCCAGCTCCATGTAAAGCAAACAAAGCTTGCATACACTGAAATCAGCACTGGCCTGCTTAAGAACTGGCTTGAAGGAACGGCTATTACTATAGCTAAGGCTTTGTGGATTCAGCTGTTCAATAAAAGAGCCACCATAAGACTTTACTCTGAATCATCATATTCTTAGGATACCTATAACTAAACAGATTCCCCACTCCTTCCCGGCATGCCCTCAAGGCTTCTTTATACAATCCAATTCAAAATAGTGCTTGTTCATAGTACATGCTGTTCTTCAGAAACAAAGATTATATATGGTTCAGAACAATTCACTAAGCCTGGAAGGAGCTTTGGTATTTTGTGTGGTCAACTGATTCACAGGCTTGCTTTTAACTGTTGTGCTTCAGATACTGAAGAAAAAACAAGTCTCTACAATTAAATGGGTCATGTTTCTGCTTCTACTCAGCCTTACACCACCTAAAATTAACTCCTTAATCTACAATGTCTCTGATTGGTCTTTTGATTTGTAAACTTATATGGCTTCAGACTGTAGAATGTGACATCCCACATCATATTATTGGTGCGGAGACATTTTTTTTAAAAAAAGATCATGACCACATGAAACCACCTTGATAGAACTGCATAGCCAGTTAAATTCAAGTGACATACAAGAAGTCAAAGAACTTTTTGATCAGCTGCCCATGCTTTTCAGCACCACAAGAAGCAACAGAAAGTATCCATTGAGGCTAATACTAAACTGTAAATATTTGGGGAAAGTTGGGTAAATTGCTTTTTACACCCTGGGTTATCACTAAATGCAATCCAGAGGGATGCACACACTAATTTAGAAGGTTTTGCCTTTCACATGTTTTAAAAACTCTCATAAGTGAATATTTTTAAATACAGAAACAGAGGTTTTCACAGGACAAGCACCACTAGCATGTGCTGCCATTTTCTTCTGAATTCCCCTTTAGAAGTACCTATTGGAAAACCAGTAAGAAATTGAACTAAACTGATGTAAGCAATGCCCCCCCCCCGAAATCACTGTGCCTTCATTTTTCTCTTTACACATCTCTACATTGCAAGACAGAACTTACAAAACCTAAATTTCACAAGATTGGCTTATTTTTTAGAAGTAACAAAACCAAGATTATCCAAATACTTTAAATAATATTATCCCAGCTGTCTGTGAATACACATATACGCTGGTTCTAACAAAGGGTGATTCATCCACAAAAACATGTCTCCACACTCAAACCAACCTCTCACAAGCAGTCTGCTTGCTCACATCATTCTCTTTTCTCCACAACAGATTTCTGCTGATACATCATCAAGCTGCATTCCTGTGGATGAATTAACAGAGCAGCCCCCATTGCTTGACTTTTGGGGGTCAAAGGGACCCAATGCAGGCACAACCTTCCCCCAATCATCTGTATGGCAGAAAGGAGGGAGACCAACACACACTATCTCTTCCGCACACATCTTAACACCAGGATGAATGTATCCAATTATTTGTCTTCCATTGGCTCATAAGCCTTACACCTGAATTAAAGGAAATGAGGACAGTACAATTTCCACTTCAACAACTGAAAGGTAAGTTGTAATGTTGGGATGCTCTGATGACTGGAATCTCTGTTATGTTCTAGATATGAGTATCGGGAAACCCTTTGGTAAGAAAGAAAAAATTCTAGTCAAACCTATCACTTTTAATAGCAAAGGAAGTCGTCCCTCCGTTTGCAAAGAAAGTTGTTATGGGAACAGCATTATGTTTTAGGCCGATACCACACAAGCATGCTGGATACCAGAAGTACTTACCCAACATCTCTTTCTTAAGTTTTTCATTTCGTTCTTCTATTTGCCTCGGCAATCTCTAGAAGAGCAAACAGAGGATCAAGATAATGTTGCCAGAACTATTTACTCATGATGTACTGTGTATCGTTTGACACACCACTTACTACAAAGAAATGAACTCCAGAGGACATGACAATCACTAGTACTTTGATGGGTGCACACAGTGCCCTTAGTGCCCCTGGCCACTACCTGAAATGGGAGGCCCTTACACAGAAAAGGACAGAATGGGCCCACACTGCTTGGAGGATGTTTTTGAACATTTTATCACAAGTGATTTTCTAGTTTCTTTCAAGTTGCACAATTTTGGCAAAGAGGGGTGGGGTTTCATTTTAAAACTTCAAAGTCACTTGTAAAGAAACTGGTTAAACAGTAAACATTTTACAAAGTAGTGAGAAAGATTACTGGGATTATAAAAAGTATCCCGATATTGTGATGTTTTGACCGTTTCTGAGTATTTAAGTGAAACAGTTTTACCATGGGCCTTTGGTTCAAACAGAAGATCAGGCTATGGAAAAAACCTACAGAGCTTTAGAGATCAAATGTTAATCTCTGCATGAATCCCAGCCACATACATTTTGTAACGAACCCAACAGCGGCTTTGTTAAAACCTATCAGTTGCAGTATATCAATTTCCATAACAATTAACATAGCTATGTGAAAAAACACTTCTTAAAAAAAAGCCTGAAGTTTGTCTGAAGGCTCTCAAGTAAACAATCCATGAAAACCCACAAAACAGTCCCAAAAGCAGGGCTGTTCTTTTTATCTCTTTTCCTAGTGTAATCTTACAGTGCTTGCAGCAGCCTGAAGTACACCCACACCCTCCAGTTCAAGAGGCCAGAAACAACTTTGAGTAGAAATCCATGAAAAGACATTAAAATGGATGGTTATAAAGTTTTAAGAGACACCTGTCCAACATTTTCAAAGGGTGTCAACGTGTAAAGCCCTTTTTTTAAACATAGTGCAAGAAAGTACCACATTAGACAAAGGCCTACCAGAGAAGCTTCTCTTGCTTGATGTACTGAGGGATCCTTTTCCAATACATTTTTGTAATCTTCTAAAGCTTCATCTAATTTTTCTGTTTTTTCATACAATTCTGCTCTCCTCAATAGTGCCTTGATGTAATCTGGATTTAATTCAAGGGCTAAAAAAATAGAAGAAACCATGAAACACTAAGGTTGAACTGAGTCTACCAAGAACATTTCCAGCAGCTCCCTAGCAAGGCTCTCCTCGAGAAGCTCCAAGATATACAAAAGTGTTTGCACTGACAGTATCATCTGGTAACCGTACCTGAATAGACTCATACCATTACTTCGCAGCACATCCAGTTCTATATGCCCCAGGAAAACATACTGATCTGCCCAAGGAAGCCAGCACCATTCCTTGTCCGCAAGTGATTCTGGGCATTTCGGGCACTTTAGACTGTAAATGTTTGTTTAAATTAACAATGCTGGCTTGCATGGGGGAGCCTGATAGTCTATGGCTGATAAGCATATCGGCCTAAGCATCTCAGGTGCCCTTTGGAACCCAAAGCTCCATCTTGGAATACAAAAGCACTTGGCTCCTAGAGGCTATTGCTGCATGTCAAGCTTGGGTTGGTTGACCATCTGTACCTGTTGTATTAATGCCTTAAAGCCCTGATGTATTTTTCCTTTGTTTATTCTTTTAACCTTTCCCTCCTGCTCTCCCTTAGAATGTTGTTTTAGAACTGAGCCCTTATCACCTACCCTCGCCTGCGAGATGAGTGTATGCATGTAGGAGTAGAATCGCTTGCCTCTGTAGCTCTTCTATGCTGCCCCTAAGAGACATCTTTCACACGGGAAGTTCTCCTTGGGAGAAACATCTTTGATTAGCTAGGGATAGGCCGTATATCTCTCATGGTCTGGGCAGCATTGCTGACATGTAAGAATGGAATGTGTGACTGTAACGATATGCACCTTTCCCACCCTAGTACCCCAGTTCTGACAAGGAGTTCATTCCCTGAGCATCTCATATCTTCTAATAAAACTTTCTTTTTTTCTCTTTTTTGGCATCCCCAGAGGGATATTTTTATTATTTTTAATAGGACTACATAACTACAAAGAAAATATAGGGGAAGGGACTAAAATCTAAGGATAAAGGAAAGATAACCACACTACACTAAAAACCCAAGAGGAGGAGATCATATCCCTGTTAATCTAAATGTTATTGTTAGTATAACAATATACTTGTAGAGTTGTTGTTTTTTTAAACCCCCGAAGGGATATTTTTTTATTTTGCATTAAACTACAAACTACAAAGAAAATTAGGAAGGGGAGCTACAACTAGGTATAAAGGAAAGATAACCACACTAAACTAAAAACCCAAGAGGAGGAGATCTTATTTCTGTCAGCTCTTTTATCATTGATCTTAAAGATGACACCTTCCGGGATCGCCCTGTACGTTATTTCATTAGTTTGAAGAAAAGTAATCAAATCTTTATAATCTTCCCTCTTTTTCCGAAACTCAAATGGAATGTCTTTTAGCGTCTTGATCATTACATTTCCCATTCTCAGTGGAGTTGCTGATGTTGCTTTTAAAATAGCATCTCTGGTCTGTCTTCTTGAGAATCTGACCACAATTTCTCCAGGTAGGCTATTTTTTTTTAATATAATTGGAGTATGCCCTATAGGCCACCTCCATGTCTTTTACTAGTTCATCCGCTATAGAGCCTATCACTGGAACAATGATCTCGCTAAGCAAACTCCTCAGGTCCCCTTTCGCTGTTTCAAGAACTCCCTGGAACCTGAGAATCATATTGGCTTTTTCCATCTGTAGCTGCAGTACACGGTTTTCTTGAATTTCTCATTGTATTTCCACCTCTCCCAGACTTTTCTTCGAATTCTTACTTGTGGTGTCCATCTCTTGAATTTTCTCATTAGCCTGCTCCACTTTCTTTTCCGTTTCATTCAGCTGGAGCTGTTGAGATGCAAAGTTCTTATTCATCACAGTCAGTTGCTGGTTAATACCATCGAGTTGTTCCATCACCGGCTTGAGCATATCCGCTAGTAATTTAATGACGTCTGCCCCCTCTTCCGGGTTGGGACTCTAACTGCCTGGCAGTTTCGTTTTTAACTTTACATGCTGGGCCGCCATTTTTCCAATTTGTTTACACTTCCCACTGCTTTCTTCTGACTCGAGAAACTCGCTCACGATGTCAAAAATCAAGTAAGTATCTCACAACACATGCGCTACTTTCCTCCCCTCTTTCCCCCTTCGCGTCACTTATCAGTTATTCGCATAAGAGGCATCCCTCTTTGCATCCGCTTCTTCCCGGACCGGGGGGGGGGGATCCGCTTTTTTTAAAAGTCCATTTTAATCAGCTCACGTTCATTGTCGGTCAGATTCTCTGACCACGCTGCTTTTTAACGATCTTCCGCTCAATCTCCGGCGCTTGTCCTGGTCAAACCAGCTTGTGCCCAAAGGCCACACAGCGACTGGACCGTCAGGGTGGAGGGGAGCCTCGATT